TATGCGCATTATACATTACACTAATGATTGTACAACTTACTATTACTCTTATGTTACACAGGCTACATGTAGCCATCAGCTACACCTATATTTATTTTTAAATTTTTATTTATTTTTTAATTTTTATTTGTTTTTGCTTTTTATATTTTTATATTATTATATTTTTTATATTTTTTTTTATTTTTTATTTTTTTTATCTTTATTTTTTAAAATTTTTATTTTTTTACTTTTATTATATATTTTAATTTTTTTTATTTTTATATTTATTTTTTAATTTTTTATTTGTTTTGTATTTTTATTTTTATTTTAATTATTTTAATTTTTAAATTGTTTTTTTATTAATTTTTTTATTTTTAATTTTTTTATTTTTATTTAGATTTTTTTGTTATTTTTTTATTTTTTATTTTTTTTAGTTTTTTTATTTTTAATTTTTTAATTTATTTATTTTTTTATTTATATTTTTTGTGTTTTATTTTTATTTTTTTTATATTTTTTATTTTTTTAATTTTTATTATTTTTTATTAATTTTATTTTTATTATTTAGTTGTTTATTTTTTAATTTTCTTATTAAATTTATTTTTATATTATTTATTTTTTAGTTTTTTTTTATTTTTAAAATTGTTTTATTTATTTATTTATTTTTGTTTTTATACTTTTGGTTTAATATGCATTATAATCATTATACAGATCATGTGATTCGAAATTATGTAATATACTGTTAATAATCATAGATTATATTATTCAATTTTAAACAGATATATATAACATATATTTTTTATATATAATTTTTTTTTATATATAAATTTTTTATTAATGCTAATAGCAGAATGTTTGGAATACCAAAAGCAGGTTTTGAGCTAACTGTTTCTATAGATGAATGAATGGGATTATTGTTTCTATGAATGAGTGAATAGGGTAACTGTTTCTACAGGTGGGTAGGTGGAGTAACTGTCTCTACAGGTGAGTGAATGAAGTAACTGTTTCTACAGGTAGGTGAATGAGGTAACTGTCTTTACAGGTGGGTAAGGTAACTGTCTTTATGAGTGGTTGGGCAGAGTAACTTTTTCTATGAATAGGTTGGGTGGGGGAGAGGTAACTGTTTCTATGGGTGGTTTGGATAGGGTAACTGTTTCTACAGATTGGGTGAGGTAACTGTTTCTACAAGTAGGTTGGGTGGGTTAACTGTTTTTAAACTATTATATTATGTAATAACAGAGATCCCGAATATGCAGGATCTCTGTTAAAATCTGTTAAAAAAACATAGTAAAAAAAGTGTGCCATATATTCGCGCTTTAGTAGAGGAAAGATTTCTTCTGATCTTATTTCAGAGTTCCAAATATTTTTTACTAAGCCTGCTTTTTGACACCCTTGAGTTATCCTAAGTTTTGTTAGATTATCTAAATTGTCTTTTTTGTTGAGTCTTGCGAATAAACTACTTATTTGCTTTGTTGCTATCTCTTGACTTAGTGATTTACAATTACCCAGATCTTTGTGCTCAATTAT